CCGTTCCCCCTTCTCCTCTTGTTCCTCTTGAATCTTTATGTTTTTTAAAAAATTTAAATATTTATTACCTAATTTTTTATTTATTATTTTTTTAAAAAATTTAAATATTTATTACCTAATTTTTTATTTATTATCCATACTTTGATTTATTATCTGTAAACTTTTATTTATTATCCATAAACTTTTATTTTAACCACTAAAAATGGGATTTCAGGGCTCATTTTAACCATAAAAACGGGATTTTGGGGCTGATTTTAATAATTAAAATTGTGATTTCAGGGCTGATTTTAGTAGCTAAAAATGGGATTTCAGGGCTGATTTTAACCATTTAAAATTATGATTTCAGGGCTCATTTTAACCATTTAAAATTATGATTTCAGGGCTGATTTTAACAATTAAAAATGGGATTTCAGGGCTGATTTTAACCTCAAACCTTTCTTTATTTTCAGTTCAGCTTCAGGAACTGCTCCTCACTGCCAGGATGAGCTCCCCAAGCTCTGCCCCTGAGAATTCCTGCAGGATCACCCTTGGACAAGCTCAGCAGGTAATTATCCATTCATTATCAATTAATTATCCATTAATTATCCATTAATTATCCATTATTTCCATAATTTATCTTCCCTTTTTTCTCCTCAGAGCAGGGATTTTTATTTCATCCAAAGCACATTTAAATCAGGAGAATTTTATCCTAAAGAATTGGGATTTACCCTTTATTTCTTCTCTTTCCCATCAATAATTTATAAACATTTTAAAGTGGAAAAAAATAGGAAAAATCAGGAAAAACTGTACATAAAAAATGGGATAATCCGTATTTTCGTGCTGGATTTGTACTTAAAATATTCCATATCCAATTTTTTTTTTTTCCTGGGCTCTGTGTCTTGGAGTTTTGTCACTTTATTTATTATATATTTATAATATTAAAAATGTTTTATCACTTTATTTTTATTAAATTTATAATATTTTAAAGTATTTTAAATTTTCTTYAGTGACACATCCCCAGGGCCTTTTTTTGGAGTCAATTTAGGACTCAGAATATTCCAGTTAAACTCTGAAATGTTTTTCTTCACAGAAACAACAAAAAGGGGGTTAAAAACCAATTTCCTTGGATTCCATCATGTTTTTTAAATTTTGTTTTTGTCTCTCAGGAGGTTTTTTCCAGGTTTTTTCCCAACATTCCCAACAAAACTCTGCTCTTTTTTTCCGAGCTTGGTCTCTGCCCATTCCAAAGGCTCTGAATTCCCAGTTTTTCCTCACAGAAACAACAAAAGGGGGTTAAAAACCAATTGCCTTGGATTTTTTTGTGATTTTTTTGTAAATTTTTTTGTCCCTCACGAGGATAATTCCAGGTTTTTTCCAAAATTTCCAACCAAACTCTGCTCTGTATTTCCAAGCTCAGTCCCTGTCTGTCCCAAGGTTCTGAATTCCTAGTTTTTCCTCACAGCAACAACAAAAGGGGGTTAAAAACCAATTTCCTTGGATTTATTTGTGATTTTTAAATTCTTTTTTGTCTCTCACAAGGATAATTCCAGTTTTTTTTCCCCAACATTCCCAACAAAACTCTGCTCTTTTTTACCGAGCTTGGTTCCTCCCTGTTCCAAGGCTCTGAATTCCCAATTTTTCCTCACAGAAACAACAAAAGGGGTTAAAAACAATTTTTTAATACTCTTTTATTATTTTAAAAGTTTTTTTTTGTCTCTCACGAGGATAATTCCAGGTTTTTTCCAAAATTCCCAACCAATTCCCAATTCTGCTCTGTGTGTCCGAGCTTAGTCCCTGCCTATCCAAAGCCTCTGAATTCCCAGTTTTTCCTCACAGCAACAACAAAAGGGGGTTAAAAACCAATTTCCTTGGATTTTTTTTTGTGATTTTTTATTTTTTTTGTCCCTCACGAGGAAAATTCCAGTTTTTTTCCAAAATTCCCAACCAAACTCTGCTCTGTGTTGCAGGTGAGACCYAAAGTTCCCCTCCTGAGGATTCTGCAGGCGGCCGGTGCCCAGGGCGACACTTTCACGCTCAAAGAGGTGAGTTCACATTCCAGACATTTTCCTGCTATTTTCTGGGATTTGGGATGAGATTTAA